CAGCTATCCTTAATGCCTGAAATGTAAAGTGGTCACTTGTTACTCATTAGCCATCTTTTATGTGTGAAGTGTAAAGTGGTCACTTGTTACTCATCAGCTGTCCTTAATGCCTGAAATGTAAAGTGGTCACTTGTTACTCATCAGCTGTCCTTTATATCAGAAATAATTACTTGTTTTTACACTTCGTTTATTTCTCAAATGTGTTGCTGTTTCAGTCCGTGGTCACATTTCTATTCAGGGATAAACTATTTTCTGGTCACCCGCTGGGTCAGCGGTAAGTCTACGTACAAATTTAGAACACTAAAATCTGAGGTTCAATTCCACGTGGCAGACACAGTAGAAAGCTCAGTTCTTATCTGCTATCTTTTTAGCCAACATGTACATCTATAACATTTCAAGTCAAGCAAGCTATACAGCATTTACATCAATACTTATTGTATCATGTATAGTTAGTTATCTAAACGTTCAAATTCTTATGTCTGTTTTACTTTTTTACACCTTCATGTTAAACTAATGTTTAATCTATTTGAAGTTACAACTTCCTTGTTGGTTAGTTATTCTGTTTAAGCACCACGATCATTCTTGGTTATGTCCTTTAATAGATACAAATATAATTTTTCTCAATGTGATTGTTTTTTAGCGCAAAGCTACGTAATAGGCTATCGGTGCTCCGTCCACCACGGAGAATCGAACCCCTGATTTTAGTGTTGTAAGTCCTTAAATTTGCTCTTGGCTCACTGAGGACATATTAATCTTAACCAATTTTACAGCGAGGACTTGGATGTTTTCCAAACTTTATAGCTGTTGACTACACACACTTGTTTATGTTACAAACCGTCCTTTCTCACATCAGATTTTGTGGTTCTAAAATCATTTAACTTCACCAAGTGATATTTTCCGTTTTATCATATTTTGATCACATTATGAAATTATCGTATTTTAAGAGAAATTGTAGTAAAGAAGAAATTGTTTGAATGTTTCTCCTTTGTCAGCTTAACAAAGTTTCAAAATAAATTCATCATGGCGTAATGATTTTCAACTTAAAGACGCGATTTCAGATACACCTTTAAGCCTTTTTATACTTTAGGCCTTTTTCAGAGACGTGTATTTTTGTATATTTTTCATATCTAACACGTGGAGTTTATCGAAACACTGAAATACTTTAAGACACTCGAACACCATAAAACTTTTTAATGACACTATGAAAATTGAAGAATAACAAAGTGGTTTAAAACTATAAAAGAACAACTGGTACCAGTTAAGGTTCTTTTATCAAAAGCAAGTTTACTCATTAAAATGTTTGGATATAAAATTTACATTTTATCCATTAAAACCGACTTTGTTTGTGAATTACGATATTTAAAAATTTATTTTACAATCAAACTAGCTATATATTTAAGTTTTAAGTGCACTTTCAACATAATAAACTTAGTTTAAAATAAAAATTGTATAAAAAATGTGATGTTAATCAATCAAAAACAGACATAATGTTCAAAATATGTGTTTCGACATAGCAGTTAGTATAGAAATCAGATTGCCAATTAAAGCAATACCACCTAGGATGATCACCAAGGCTTATTTCTTGTCCTAATTAACGCGTGGTTATGGCATACCTGAAGACGTAACAAACCTCTACAGGTTAAGGGAGCTTCGTGATAATTTCTCCAGAGGTCGATAGAAGGCTAACTACCATGGGGGAATAAGAACACACAAAAGGATGATTAATCCACTGGGAAAACACATTAACCTGAATATCGAAACAACAACAAAAAGCAGTGAGTCATTTCTCAATAAATTGAAAGAACAAAAGTGGTAGGATTAGTACAAAAACAACAACAAAAAAACACTTACTGAAGCGCAAGGCAAATATTCTAAACATATATTTTTGCTTTAAGCTAGGATTTCCAGTTTTTTTTATATCTATTAGTTTTAAATTCATTCTTTCTGGATAACATCCTCACATCTGCATATGCTACACAACTGTTTTCCCTGCAAAGCTAATAGATATCACAGTATGCAAACCAGTATATTGTTGGTAACTGAAAAATAACAAAACGCTTTTCAAATACTCTGCCCCCCCCAGGGGCACAGCGGTATGTCTGCGGACTTACAACGCTAGAATCCGGGTTTCGATGCCCGTGGTGGGCAGAGCACAGATAGCCCATTGTGTAGCTTTGTGCTTAATTACAAGCAAACCTCAAATACTCTTATCCCTAAAATTCGAATCATTCGTTTGTCTAACCCTATTACTGTAAGAACAAACAAAATGCTCATTTTTATGCATATCATTATACTGCATTTACATCATTATGAATACTTATCATCTTAATTAAATGCTGAATAAAACAATAGAGAAAAAAAATGAGTAAGGAAAGTTGGCCAGAGGATTGGTGTGATGAAGGAATTGGTTAATTTTCTTTTTCCGTGTAAAAATGTAAAGATTCTTCCCCGTATTTATTGAAATGATTCCAAGAAGTGTCAGTTATAGAATAACTATGTCAGTTCCTAGGCGTATATGAATTATTCAGTAGCAGAAAGCACTGCCTATTATATCTCAGAAATCTTCAAGAAAAATAACGATCACAAGAGGCCAAGTTACACAATCAGGGAATATTTTCTTGAATCGGCAAATCCCTTAAGCGGCACTTTAAAGGCTTTACTTAAAATGAAGATATACGGAGAAACTGGACTGTAATAAAGGCGATCACTTTTAGTAAACAATAGAACTCTTTGTTTAAGAGAGTTTCGGTGTTTCCTGATTCACTCTGAACAATAAACAGGTTCACAATATACAGCGAAACGTGCAGTTTGGATTTCGACTGCTTTTCTGCAGATGCCTTTAAGTTTAACTATTCTACATTTGAATTACTATTCAGGAACAATGGATAAAACACTATAGATACGTTCTGTTGGCTTTGTTATTTAAAAAGAGTTCATCTATGCACTGTTCACAGATGAAAGTCGACACGAAGTAGTGGACTGAGATTGAACTAATTTAAAAACGAAATTAAGTAATAAATACAAACGCAAACTTTCACGTATGTACATCACTCTTTTATGTGTAGCATCTCGTGTACGGAATACACAGTGTCTCTTAATTAATCCTCAGAAGTAAAACGTTTACTCCTGAAGATGAAGAGAAGGAAAATTGCGTACACCAACAGAAAGACTGTATTCAAAAGGTGAACAGTAGCTTCCGTCTGACTAAAATCATTGGATCGAAAAATTATACTGATAAAGTTTCTGGATCATTTATCTACATTGTTGTCGAACTTCTTGATTTCGCGGAGTAATCGAACTTCAACACGAAACCTCATTTTTTTTGTTTGTCTCCATCACAATTCAGCTAATTTTGGTGAGACGTTTGTTAGTATATTATGACATATGCGTATCAGATATTACATTAGGTTTTTATATTGATTTACCATTTTATATCACCATGTAACTTATTTCTTCCATACAATTTCTGAAGACACAGAATGGAACTGCTATTAAGAAAACTTAATTTTCTATTGATCCCTACCGCTATCCTAGCCTGACTTAAATGGAAATGGTAACCTTGGAGTTTAATATCTAAATCCAATATGGTAATCAAAGGCTTCAAAACGCACGCCTTAACAAACAGCTAACAAATTACTATATGTATGAATATTAATTATTATTTCTCATCCTGTTGTCTGAGGTAAGTTTACAAACTTATAACGCTAAAATCCGGGGTTCGATTTCACGTGGTGAACACAGAAAATAACCCGATGTGGTTTTGCTCTGAAATAAAAAAAAAGAACAACTCATCTTGTTAAAATACATTAATTTCAGAGAAGTTATGGTTATTCAAACTAACTATCACAAAAGATACAGAAATATTCAGTTTCATTCTTCACACATGCTAAACTTTTGTAATAGTGTGTCCAAGTTGAAAATGTGTCAATCAAAATTAAATTAATTGAAACTTCTGTAGAAAAAACATAACTACGGCGTGTTGACGTGTGGAATGTGAAACAGAGAAACTGACCAGGCATGGCCAGGTGGTTAGGGCGCTCGACATGCAATCTGAGGGTCGCGGGTTCGAATTCCCATCATACCAAACATGCTCGCCTTTACAGCCGTGGGTGCGATATAATGTGACGGTCAATCCCACTATTCGTTGATAAAAGAGTAGCCCAAGAGTTGGTGGTGGGTGGTGATGACTAGCTGCCTTCCCTCTAGTCTTATACTACTAAATTAGAGACGGCTAGTGCAGATAGCCCTCGTGTAGCTTTGCGCGAAATTCAAAACAAACAAACTCATTAAAATATGAAAACTACATGACTAATATGTTTCCACTGGCATGAAATACATTTTGCTTTAATTTGTAGGGAATATTTGAGTATCATTATATTGACTTTAGAGCATAAAGTCAGTACAATAAAGTTCACTACATCACTATAATGCCGGGAAATGCAAACTTATATTATTTTGACTCGATACGTTCGACTTGTTACGACGTGTTCGACTTTTGTTACAGCAACGTATTGTAAATCTTTTCTTCTTAACTAGATCCTCCCGAGAAAGTATATCTAAAAGGACCTGTCTACGCAAGAAGCGGAGATGTGGTAACAGTTGTGTGCACAACATCGCCTAGCAACCCGGCTGTTCCAATAACTTGGTTGGTGGATGAAAATCCTGTCAGTGGTGGAGAGCAGTTTAACAGAAACGACAGTGATGGATGGATAACTACGTCAAATCTCACCGTCACACTCACCAGGCAGGTAAATTCTTCAGCCTTCTGAAGGGTGCATTTATTGTTGAAGTCGTATTTCTTTTATTTACGTTTTGTTTTTAAATATATTTTTGCATTGATTTGAATAATATATAAGATTATGAGATTTGTGTATAAAGTTTAAAAAATACTGTAGGCATGCCTACATATAAACACTAGTACCAAACCTATAACAGTTTAAAAAATGCTGTAGGCATTCCTACACATAAACACGAGTACCAAACCTATAACAGTTTAAAAAATGCTGTTGGCATGCCTACACATAAACACTATTACCAAACCGTATAACAGTTTAAAAATGCTGTAGGCATGCCTACATATAAACACTATTACCAAACCTATAACAGTTTAAAAAATAGGCATGCCTACATCATTTTCTAAACTGTTATAGGTTTGGTAATAATGTTTATATGTAGGCATGCCTACATCATTTCTTAAATTGTTATAGGTTTGGCTTTGATTGGTACTAGTGTTTATGTGTAGGCATGCCTACAGCATTTCTTAAACACTTATAGGTTTGGTACTATTGTTTATAAGTAGGCATGCCTACAGCATTTTTTAAACTGTTATAGGTTTGGTAATAGTGTTTATATGTAGGCATGCTTACAGCACATATAAACACTATTACCAAACCTATAACAGTTTAGAAAATGATGTAAGCATGCCTACATATAAACACTATTACCAAACCTATAACAGTTTAAAAAATGCTGTAGGCATGCCTACTTATAAACAATAGTACCAAACCCATAAGTCACTGCTATCAAGACTGAACACAAATCCACCTCTAATTCAAGAACACTTATAAAGACTGAGCATAAATCCACCTTTAATCCAACACTGATATCAATGATATCATATTTACCACACATCCACCTTTAATTCAAGAACACTGATAAAGACTGAGCATAAATCCACCTTTAATCCAACACTGATATCAATACTGAAAACAAACACCTTTGATCCAAGAACACTGATATCAAAAACACCGTACAGAGTTGTGATTAATCAATGTTTGACAACGATAGTAAAATAATGGGTTGACTCAACCAGAAACAAGGCTTAAAGACTGTCCTATATCTTAAACTGCTATAGGTTTGGTACTGGTGTTTATATGTAGGCATGCCTACAGCATTTCTTAAACTGTTATAGGTTTGGTAATAGTGTTTATATGTAGGCATGCTTACATCATTTTCTAAACAAGACTGAACACAAATCCACCTCTAATTCCAGAACACTTATAAAGACTGAGCATAAATCCACCTTTAATCCAACACTGATATCAATGATATCATATTTACCACACATCTACCTTTAATCCAAGAAGATATCAATATTCTTGGATTAAAGGTAGATGTGTGGTAAATATGATATCCTTGATATCAGTGTTCTTTGGTTAAAGCTAGTACATGTGGGATTAATTCTTCCATTCGAATAATTCACTAATGACTGATTACAAGAAAACCTAAAGTTGAAAAGGATTTTAAACAAACGAATATTCGAAGAAATGTTACTATATGGAATACTTTTAGTTCGCAATTAATACAATCTACACCTGGAAAACAACTGTGATATCTCACACGTTACGTCAAGTAACAAAATTCAAATGTTTATGATGCTAGTAGCATGTGTCTAAAATACAGGCAGTTTCTTATTCAAATTTCTAAAGTCCACTCGTCCCATATAAACAAAGTGTAAGGAAACAAGTATCAACAGAGAATTACGGAAACCAACATAAATAGGAATAAGTAATTCCTAACTTTGAACTGATAAATTAGAGGATAGGCAACTATTTTACAACACCCACCGCCAACTCTGGGTTACTCTTTCCTGATTAAAGACTGTGATTTAACTAACTCTTATTACACCCTCACGCTACAAAATGCCGAATGCGTTGTTGTGGCAATGAATAGCGAACCCGGAATCATCGGATTCATAATCCTGGCACTATAATCGCAAGGCTACGACCGTCCTCATAAGGTCTTATTTTAGTAAGTTTATCTCCTGGTAAACAAAGAGTAAGTAATAAATTATTGTTCCTCCATTTGCATTCAGTTTTTTGTTTTTTTATAAAAGTTTCATATCTTCATATTATTCATTGTTTTCCTGTTATCATATTAGAGAAAACTCAAAAGGAAATCACAGTGTACGGTTTTTAACCATGTTATCCGACCTACCTACAGCTTAACCTTTCAATTAATGTAATCAGACAGTTAACGTACGTTTAGCCTGATGTTACAGCTTAACCTTTCAAGCTTCACAGTATTTGTTTACAGACAATTAATGTAACCATACAGTTAACGTACGTTAGCCTGATGTTACAGCTTAACCTTTCAAGCTTCACAGTATTTGTTTACAGACAATTAATGTAACCATACAGTTAACGTACGTTAGCCTGATGTTACAGCTTAACCTTTCAAGCTTCACAGTATTTGTTTACAGACAATTAATGTAACCATACAGTTAACGTACGTTAGCCTGATGTTACAGCTTAACCTTTCAAGCTTCATAGTATTTGTTTATTTACAAACAATTAATGTAACCACACAGTTAACGTACGTTTAGCCTGATGTTACAGCTTAACCTTTCAAGGTTCACAGTATTTATTTACAGACAATTAATGTAACCATACAGTTAGCGTACGATAGCCTGATGTTACAGCTTAACCTTTCAAGCTTCACAGTATTTATTTATTTACAGACAATTAATGTAATCATACAGTTAACGTACGTTTCGCCTGATGTTAGAGTTTATCCTTTCAAGCTTCAGTCGTCGTTTACCAGATACAAATGTAATCAGACAGATATGTACGTTTCGTCTGATGTTACAGTTTAATTTTACAACCTTCAAAAGTCTTCCTTTACCAACTGAAACGCGTAACTCTGGGGCAAATAACGTACAGCTACACCTGCATGTTTCGAGGTTTACAGATTTATATCATGTGTAATATTTTATATAAAATGTGGATGAATTACACGATCTTATATGTTAATTATTAGTGCTATAATGTTTAAGGTGTTTTGTAAAAATTAAACATTATCTCGATTGATCAGAGTAATTTTCCTCTTTTGCTTCCTCCGTTATTTTTCTATGAAATTTTATCCTATAAATTTGAAGCATTTACTGAAAACTTAGTAATCTCTGTTAAGATGTATTATAAAAACATTGGCAGGTGTACGTATGTTTATGGTTTTTGTTATGAGCAATCTTAAGTCATCAATCAGCTCTTAAAGTGACCACTACTACAAGTGGTGAACACATCAGGAATTAACAGAATCCTCTGTTAACAGTTCACATTACTTTCACACATCAAGAATTAACAGAAATAATCGTCACTGTACACTATAGTTTCACTGAACAGGAATTAACATAATCCACATTTACAGTTCATATTTGTTTCACATATCGGGAATTATCTGTTACAGTTCAGAATTGAGAAAAACAAGACAATTATACCTTTCATAAATACATCATTTATTCACGACCATGGTTTCGAAAGTAAAAACATCATCAGGTACAAATGAGCAGAATCCACTGTATTAAATATACACGACTGTTTCAGCTTAAGTTTAATGCGAATGTTATGATTTAGATAGTTTATATAGCGCGAGAGGAAAGAAAATCTAACGGGTTTAGATATTGAGCCCATCAAGGGGACTTCAAATGTTGATGCAGACTGTATGAGTAGACTTTATGCACGAACTGAAAACAGTTTTTGTATGTAGTATAAAACATATTTTTCTTGAAGAGGGGTTTATTGTTATATATACACGACTGGTTCAGCTTAAGTTTAATACGAGTGTTATGATTTAGATAATTTACCTAACACGAGTGTTAACTTTAGTTATTTTCAGAAGAAATAGTTTATTGCAAGTTTATTTACATAACTGTTTACGAATCATATGTTGTGTAATTCAATAGCTATTTATTGATGAATGTTATATCATTGAGTCACGTTACTAGAACCTTCCGAGTTTTTCTCGTTGTTTTAATTAAGTATTATTGCATCATAGTATATAGTAGTGTGTGGGAAGTTCTAGACCTCTGTCGAGATATAAATACGGTCGAAAATGTAGTTAGATAGTTAGACCTATACTACGTGATTGTTAGTTTAGCCATAAAGGGCGTATAATGACGATTTTTAAAGTGAAATTATCACAGATTTTATTTGTAACAACAGAGTAGAGAATAATAATTCATCTTGTTAATTGTGTTATAAAGTAACTGAACGAGCCTGTGTGGACTTTGACAAAAGAGATACAACCATTTGAATACAACTGTGAATAACATTTGTATATATGCTTGATTTGTTTTAAAATCTCATTTTAAAACAAGTGGACTGTGTTCTGTTTTTTTTTTTTATTGTTGAAATTTATCGCCAACAAGTCACAGACACCTACTGCAAATATTCCGGTTCACATATAAAACCTGATAGTAACAGTATACTATAGTTTTCTACAATCCAAGAATTAACAAAATCCACTGTTACAGTACACATTAGTTTCACATATCAAGAATTGATAAAATGAACTGTTGCAGTACACTATTGTTTCACACAAGATAAATTGGCAGAAATCACTGTTACAGTACACTGTATTGTTTCACACATAATGAATTAACAGAATCCATTGTTACAGTTCAAATTAGTTTCATATATCAGGAATTGATAAAAATCACTGTGCACTACATTATTGTTTCATATAAAAGAGATTCACAAAATCCTCTGTTACAATTTACATTAGTTTCACATGACGAAATAACAGAATCCACAGTATACCAATTTAACCGAGACTTACAACAAAGAATACTGCTTGTAATGTTACTAATAAATGTTGTAGATTGCTTAAAATTATATATTGTCCGAAACACTACACGTACTTTTTTCTTTCATAATATCAGGTGTTAAGCGACTCGTGATGTGTAATTAGCGGTGTCCTGCTGTCCACGTGATTCATCACATGTCAGAGGTGTTGTAGATAGTGTGTTTGTCTTTTGTTGCTAAGAGAAAAGCCTGATACTTTGTTATCGATCAATGTTACAAGTTTTACCGCGATGAAATGGAGAAAAAACGCAAAACAACATATTTTGACAACATTAGAATGCCATCAACTACGTCTGATTGGTTATTATGGAAACCACTTTTCTCGTTTAGTTTCTTTTCTCTTTAAGTATAGCTTCTAGTATACCTCATAATTTTTGAATATGTTCACATGATTGCTATTGTTTTTATCTCTCCAGCATTTTTGTGAAGCAAGTTACTTTTTAACTTCCCCTCTTATTTTTTTGCGCTTCTTGAAGTTCTTGGATAATATTCTTAATACTGCCATACAAATTCCAGATCATGACTTTCCTGAAGGTTCTTGTACAATAATCTTAATACTACCATACAGATTCTAGATCATGACTTTTTGAAGCAACGTATTGGAACAGGAGTTTAATATTATATTTGTTTTCTTCGTTGTTATGAATAAACTATTACTGACAGAAAAACAGGAATAATTTTCTGTTCTGCACAGAAACCTAGTTAGCCCTATTTAAATATCTCTTATACTACTTTAAATATGGAGAATCAATTATAAACTTAGCTACAGTGGCAAAAATAATATTCTGTAAAAGAAGAAAAATCAACTATAACCTTATCATTTCCTTTAGAATAAATGTTTGTGATAAGGTGAAGAGGATCCCACAATATTATATTTCAGCAACTGTGAAAAAAAAGCGTATATTTATACTTGTTAATATCAGGAAAGTCGTGTAAAATAATTACACAAGCTACAACAGATATCTTGATTTTTATTACTAGGGCATCAATTTCTATTCAGTTTGTTACAAACTACGCACACTAGTAGTATTTAAATATTTTTGATAGTAATTTCTGGCTTGTTTTGTTTATTATATACAACGTCATATAACAAATATATCATTATTAATTTGTTTCACATGCAGGTTTGGATTGATTTTTTTGTTTGTTTCTTTGTTTAATAAGCACAAGGTTATGTAATGGATGTCTGTGCTATATCTACCGCGAGTATTGAAACCCAATTTTTAGTGTAAAACACTCTCAGACTTTTTCGCTGAGCTACCAAGGAGCTTTAAAATTAAAGAAGCCTTAATCTACGGTAGTGTGTCGTGCGGCCAAAACAACCTGCAGGATACACTGTGTGTTATTAACAGGAGTGGTCATTTAGCGGTATTTATGTAGCTCAGACTATGGTCATCCAAACAATATTTTCAATGTATTCTACTGAATCCTTACTTCATATACCAAATTTCAAGGCAATCCATTAAGAGATACACGAGATATAAATTATCCAATTTTGGTTGAATTTTTTTCTTATTTTTTTTTTACCTTCACACCGAAAGTACGAAAACTTTATTTGATAGAAAAATAAAGTTACATTTTATGGATTTTTTTAAAATTTAGAGAATAGGGTGAAAGGACGTGCAGATATAAAATATATGTTAGGCCAGGTAAACTAAATTAGCAGTTTCTAGCTCAAGTTTTCAAAAGAATCATACGAGTGGACGGTTATTATTCAATATTCATTGCCAACTTTTAAGCATACATTTTATGAAATTCTCATAATTAAAGAGTGTTTAGCGTCACGTGATATTAGCTTAAGCAATTAGCATAAGTAATGATGCTTGATACGGTATACCGAGTGCATGCTAGTGATGACAAGAAACTACTAATCTAAATTCCATTGCGTTACTAGAGAAGAAAAACTACTACCATATATTTTAAAGAATCTGGTTGGATCTGTAAAGAATAGGTCTGTTCGGAATAATAGAGTTGCGATCCTAAAGCTAATACTGGTTACTGTCGAGTGTCACTTTCTTACTTACTGTGGTTTGTTGGTGTGTATTCACAAAGAGCCATAATATCTAATCAAAAACACCTTGGGTGAGATCAGAAAAAGTTGGTACCTTTTTATCACACCTAGGGTGTTTTTGGTTAGATTTAACTTACTCGTCTACAAAAATGCATTGCACCACACATTTCATTGACCATTACTGTAAACAGTGAGGATACAGTTGAGGAGACGAAACAATTACTTCGATGTTTATATGAGAGGAATATTTTTCTGACGTAATTCTGATTATAAATTTGGTCCTTTAGTAACTCTACTGGTTTTCTTCTGAAAATCCCAAATGATGCACAAGAAAATCATGATTTTTTTATCTTTCTCTAGGGTGAAGAAATACGTCACTTTCTTCTTGAATTTAGTTTCAAATGCACATTGATAAAAAAAACACGTTTTTATTGCTCTGGTATCCTGGACCAAACGTTATTATTTATCCTGAAACTTAGTATGTTTTTGAGGACCTATAAAATCTAAGCATCAGAGGAGTGTGAAATGTAATTCAGTCTGAATTTCGTTCTTCAAATGTTGCTGAGTAGGAGATTCATTTTTGTGAGAATTCTCCTTTTCTATGCGAAAACATAAATATACATTTTGGACCTGTTATTGGTAAATCAGTTACTTGACAAAGAGTCCGGTGAAACGTTGTTATAACTATACAAATTACCAACTATTTACTTAAAGGTTATCTTTGGATGATAAACAGTTGCGATATATTTATCATAAGTACAAAGTACATTTTGCATGTAATGCTCTAAACACATTAATAAGTTACTGAACTGGAAAGATTAATTAGACGCAAAGCATTTTTTGGCATATTGGCGTTAATGAATTTCCTTGATGGATTTCCTTTCACATAACTTAATATTCTGGTTATGGAAAGAAAAGTTATGTTAATGTTTGTAATTGTTGTTGTTTTGTGTGTGTTTTTGGGTTGTTAATTAATGGGATACCTCAACATTCCACTTGCACCAAAAATGGAAGATTATCCAAAAAACGTTATTCACATTTTGGAACATGCTATAATCTCTTTTAAGAAGAGTTGAAATATTACTTCAATTTCTTCTAAACAACAAGAATAGGTCATTAAGCTGAATATAAACTCAATTTTAGATAGATACAGCATTTTGTGTAAACGTAATGATCGAAATCGATTCAACATATACAAGAACCCTGTTATCTTAACGACTGTCTTTGTATGTGGTTATTAAAAGAGCTGTATTAAACTTATCATGATTTTATAATGGGGAATTTCTAGTCATTTGTTGAAACGATTATTACTAATAGTCAATTCCTTTCCAGGATCCTGACACCAAGAGCTTTATCTGTAGGGCTGGGAATCCTCAAATTGGAATTACCGAAGGCCGAAAAGAAATCAAAGTAACGTGTACGTATTTCTTGTTAAAATTTCATGTTACGACAATTATGTTGCTAATTATCTTTAATGCTTCCGTTCTAATCTTCAAATTGAATCTTAAACGATTTCAATCAAGTTAGCTAATTTGAAGAAAGTTCCTAAGTGTAATATACGATCATTAATGTTTTGATAACGTATCGCGAATATACATTCAAATTATATTTAATATACATTTGATACGATGTTTTGTGTTTATATTTATTGTACATTGAAATAATGTTGTTTTCTGCTTATTTCGTGCAAGCTACTCAATGTCTATCTAGCTAGCCATCTTTATATATAAAAGTTATGGACTAGAATGAAGACAGTTGGTCAACACCACTCACCAACTCTTTTAGGCTACTCTAGTCAAATAGTTGGATTGATCGTGACATTATAACTCCCCCAGAGCGAGCATGTTCGGTGATGAGATCCGAACCCGCGATCCATAAGTTGCGAATCGAGCGACATAAATAAAATATTGTCTTCCAAAAACCAAAAATCATGTTTTAAGTTAAGATTATACTAACTAAGGACAATCGGCTTGCATTTTGAGTGGTACTAGGACAATTCATTGTGGTCTTTTGATTCTGAACTTCTATCGCGAAATTTGTACTATCAGGTAACTACATAATCTTATTTAGTTAAATACTTGTATATGAAGTCCAGTCTATCATTCCACCTCTGCCCTCTGAAGACTTATAATTCTAAAAATCTGCTATTGATACTCATGGTAGGTAGAGCACAGATGGCCCATTGGGTAGCTTTGTGCTTAACAGCAAACAAACATTCTCGACAAGAGCAAATCGAAAAACAAGTCTCGCGCTGTTGGTTTTTTTATTTGAAACAAAAGCTGAACCGCTATGTTTTGGTCGTTCACCTGAGGCTATTAATCAAACTTTCTTTGATACGAAGTTTTTGTTTACTCTTGATCCTAGCAAGGAGTTTAAATTGTTGCAGTTTTATTACAATAACTTGGAAATGATGTATATGTTAAATGAGCGTGTTATTTTATCATACTGTTAACCACCTAGTGGTAAAACATATACAATCACCGCGGGTATGGAAATCTGACTTTTAAAGTTATAAGTCCTCAGACTTTCCTCTGAGCCACAGGTAAGGACTTACTCTAGTTAACCTCTTTTCATTCTGAGTGAAAGAACGTAGTATGTTTAGTGTCATGACAATCTGTATAATGCATACCGAGCAAACGCATTAAGTTTAAAGGATGAAGTCACAGAAGATAGTTTTCCAATACGTCTCTCTCAAATATTATCGACTATCTTATCCGGTCATAATTTTCAATGTATTTTTTTAATACAGATCTTTGTACTCAGCGATAAGCCTAATGTGATGTTAAGGTACGATGCATTTTTACTCTATTCGTTTTTTTATTACCTTTACAATCAATATTCGATTTCATTCAGGAAATATTTTCCAGTATTGCTATTCCTTCATTTTTGCGAACGTTCTCTACATATTTCAAAAAAAAAATTAAAACTGTTCTTGTGTCAGTTGGTTCAAAAGCAACCGTGTCCAAAAATTTCCAAATCCTTTATCGGCGAATTTGTAAAATAGAGGTAGTTGTGGTTAACCACTGCAGTTTCTATATTCCTCCGACAACGTAGAAAGAACAAGCTGAAAATCAATACCACGCCTGTTTTCTGTATAGAAACGTCCGTGCAAAGAAACATTATGATTGATTATGAACCAAATCCTTACGCCAAGAATACATGGAAGAAAATTATTTAAAAACATTTAACAACAAAGCTAAGTATAAAGATTAACATTTTTACACCCATTAACAATCTGTAATGCAGATGTCATTCCCATTATATGGTGCAGTATTGTATGTTTTCTAAAACTGAACGATAACGGGTAAGTTCAGAATTATTCCATAATAAAAATTAACAAGATTATAGTGGCGCATTTTGTAATGTGAAACGAACCCTATAATAGTCATAGAACTTGACTAAGGAAATAAAATGCCTGGTATTGGTCAGAATATCTTCTTTAAGTAAAAACTATTTAAAGTATTTTGCCTTTAACTGTAGTAAAAATAAAATTGAAAATCGGAACTAACTAACGTATGACTTTACTGAGATCTGATCGAGTCTGACTGATTGTTCTAGTACAGATTTGATTTTTAATTCAGGTCATTACTGTTAATTCAGTTTCTGTCATCAGTTTTAAATCACTTTTATTTAAAACATCTTAGTTAGTTTCAAGTTCATGTTTCCATTCACGTGAACACTGGTGATTCTTCTGTTCGATTAGTCTAACAGTCTCTCCTGGTTCGAGCTTGGTCGAGATTGAAGATCGGGAGGTTTAAGGTTTAAGACGTTTTTCTACCAAACCAGCTATGAACTTTCTCAATGGGTCGGGCCCGGCATGGCCAGGTGGTTGGGGCGCTTGACTCGCAATCTCAGTGTCACGGGTTCGAATCCCCGTCCCACCAAACATGCTCTTCATTTTAGTCTTGGGGGCGTTATAATGTAACAGTCAATCCCACTATTCATTAGTAAAAAAGTAGCCCAAGAGTTGGTGGTAGGTGGTGATGAATATCTACCTTACCCTCTAGTCTTACACTGCTAAATGAGGAACGGCTAGCGCAGATAGCCCTCGTGTAGCTTTGCGCGAAATTCAAAACAAACCAAACCAAACTCAGTGGGTCTTGTAATTTAGCATGCCAGTCAATTCTGCAGTAGTGTCTTCAGGTGATGGGTGCTGTCGACTAGCTGCCTTCTTTATAGTTCGCAGCTCAAAGTTAGTGACAGCTATGCTTAACTCATTCGCTGCCACATAATAAATTAAGTATAAATAAAATGACACATTCAAGAGTAGCCAAGGAGCAGTCATAGTGTTCCAAACTCATATTCCACATAATTGTCTGTGACACACCGGTGTGTCACGCGATCCATAACTAAAAGTCATCTGTGACCCACCGGTGGGGTACATGGCAACGAACGTGTTAAAACAAAGGTGTTTCAGATCTCGTCGTGTAGTTCACGGTGTGAATAAAATGTCATTGAGATGAACACTCAAACAGTTCGTAATAACTTACGCCCATTTTAATGAAATGTCTATCCAAATGATATGGTTTCAATCACTTCCCCTAGAGCCACTAAAATAGAAGATATAAAAGGGTGTATCTTAAACTATTTTCTTTTCCGTCACTGTCCATTTTTGCTCATTCATCTGTTAACGTTTCCACTTGTTATTTAAGTGCTATCCACCTTGTTTGTCGTCTTGCATATTTCATTCCCACTTCGCTGGCAAACTCTCAAATTTTCTGGCTAACACTCTCATTATCTGTATTCCTCTTAGCCTACTTACGTAACAATCAACCTGCTTCTGCGGTATTTATCCTTATCGCACGTATGCATTACATACGATGGGTACCAGCAACATGAACGCCAAGAACTTCAAAAGGTCTTCACTGTGTTGAATACCAATAATCGTAGTATCAATACTGCCAGATGGACGTTTCAGTTAACAGTCCTTACAGACGAGATTTTGAATACTTATCCGTGAAATTTATGACTGGCTAATTACGTTTTGATCAGCGCTTCTGTTGACTCTCTGAGAGTGTTTGACACTAATGGTGTCGTTGTTCTAATGTGACGCGCAAGAGCTTTGTACTCTGTATAAATGAAACTGAGTTTAGATGTTCAGTTAATACACATGAAATTAATTGCATTTCTGTGCTAGTTAAGTGGATAGATATATCACAGACTTGTAGATCTATATAGGCTAAGTGCTTAGCGTGCCGGACTGAAGTGAACCTGTAGGGCGGCAGGTGCTGCTCTCTGGTGGTCTTCCACCTCATAAGCAATTCTACATTACGGATGGGTTCGCCTAAACCTAGTATTAACTGACTTGGCTTTTTATCCTATCTGTCGTACAAGGCGCCATTTAGGTTGAAATGACAATAATATAATATAAAGCAGTATGCTATGAATATTCTATCTTTGGGTAAAATTACTTAGAATACAATAAACAGGATAAAGAACAATACCCACATCGCATGCATAATACTTTATTAATACACAACTACATGTGACAGTTGTACTTGGTAATGTTGCCTATATTGAATAACAAGTTTATAACATTTTACTATTTCTAATTGTAAGAGAAGTGACAATTTCTCATATGACAGAACTTAAAATATAACAGATGCAGCTTTAACGACACACTTATACGTTTTCAGCTATTAGGACTGCCATATATGGCAAGAGAAGGCAAGATGATGCTGGTTTGAGGTTAAGTATAGTGCTGTGTTCTAAGTGGTTAAACTGTAAGTTTTATTAGTCTGTTTGAATCGAGAGTTTAGATTATTTAAGTTATGTTTAATGAACCTCATATCATTAGCTACGTACGGAATCCAAGTATATCAGTGATACAGAGGGCATTTAGCGAAATTATAGACTTTTACAACGATGTAGTTGGTGTTAGCAAATGACATGTACGATAAAGATAGAGATAACCTATAGGGATATAGAGCAAAATAAAGACAAGGCAGCGAAGTAAACAACAGTCGATAGACAACAAGAGTTATGGTAGACAGTAACGAAGACAACGGTCGATAGACAACAATAGTTATTGTAGACAGTAACGAAGACGAACGGTCGATAGACAACAAGAGTTATTGTAGACAGTAACGAAGACAACGGTTGATA